TTGTGCTTTCCTTGGGCTGGGTCTTGTGGGCACTGTTCGTTGGTTTTTCAGGTGCTGATTGGTGTTTTCTGGCATAACTGTGGGTTTATTTATGTTTTCAATATCACTGTTTTTTATCTGGACCAACGTAATATAATTTCTGAGAATTATCTCAAGTTTTTTCTGGACTTCTACTTGGTTTACTGCTCGTTGCTAGATGAGGCGTGCACCTCTAATCTCTATCGGGGTCTCTTTTTTGGCTTGCATTTGATCACTAGTTTGGTTGTTACTATCATTGGTGTTAATTTTAAAGGTTTTATCTTTTACCCTTCCAGTATCTTGGTTAACTTGGTGGTGTTATGTTTTCAGTTGGCTGTTGGTTATTGGTACAGGAGAAATCCGAGGCTACTTTGGTGTTGCTGGAGGGTTGTTAATGGGCTAGTTTTGCTGGCTGTTAGAATTTTTTTTACTGTTTTTGTTAGCCCTACGTTTCTGGATAACATGTGTGGTGTGTGGAGCTGTATTAGTGAGCTCATTTTTGGTTGGCTGTGCAAGGATATGGGGACTTTGAGCTTTCTGAACTCATTTAATGACTTCATGTACAATCACACTTTAATTGGTTATGCTTGTGTTTTGGTTTGGCTTTCTCATGTACCTACTTCTCTGGTTGTTATTCTGGATCTCAATCAGGACAATTTAGTTAAGTTCGCTGCCCCTTACCCCGTTTTGGATTGTTTTTGTTATGGGGAATACTCTGTTTTGGCTCAATTTACTGCTCTGTGGCTCCTTCCTCAGACGCACTAAAGATACTATTTGTGTTTTCAGGGAAGGATCTGTAACTCTATTTCTTTTATCCTCTATCATATGCTTTGATTTACTCTTATCCCTTTTCATTTGCCATATGAAGCTTTTGTGCTTGAGGCTCTTTTTTATGCAGATCTGGCGCCTAGATACTTGGTGTTACAATTATTGCAGAGGGATTACGAGCTCCAATTTTTTGAGTTATTGGAAGGTTGATTATAATTTTTGTAGGAAGATCGTGATTATTGCTATTATCCTTTTCTTCCTTTTTTGGGTGTTCTTTCTTTGCAGCCCTAGAATGGTCTTAGAATTTTTTGTAAATCTTAGTAGTAGGAACCACTGGCTCTCAGGTTTTGTTTTGTTTCTTCTTGTAGCTCTTCTGAGCAATAGCGAGCTTGAGATTCTTTTTAAGGACCATGTAATCCCTATTTTTGATATTAACGAGTAGGCCCCTCCGTGGGTTTTAACCAAAAAAATTATATTATTTAATAAAAAAGAGTTATATTTGACGAGCCTCTAGAGTTCTTCATATATCCAAACTTTTCAATGTGCCCGATCAAGATAATTTTTTGATGATATATCAATAATTATTTGGATTATAATTATTTCTTTCTTTTGTAATAAACAAGGTAGCTCGTGACCTGAATAAAACTCCTAGAATAAATCTCGAGCTCAAGCTCAAGCTCAATTAATTAATTAAGATAAAGTTCAAATTAGTTGTGACTCGAATTCGGCTCGACTCGTTTGCATCTCTAATTAGGACCAATCGGGTCCATCTCCCACAGATTATTTTTGAAAAAATGTTGGTAGTTCATACACAACCAATCAGATTCATGTGAGTTCGTCCCAATTGCTTGAATCTATTTGAATAGCACGAATTTGTTTAGATCATATAATAGTGGGAATCGCACAATTACTCCAACACAGCTAGCAGATCATTCCAAATTAACAAAACATTTGAGAAGAATTTGGTGAGTTAAACATTACACGTATATATAAATATTGTTTAATAAAAAATATATTTATTCAGTTAGAAAAAAAAAATCGTTTTGATCGTGAAATTTTGATATTAAGACTCAGTCCTAATGGTTAATTATGACAAAGTAATCTAAGAATTGAATTTCAATTAAGACTTCGTTTGGGACAAATTTATCATTGCTTTTAAAGCAATTTTTTAGCACAAATTTTTTAGGAAGCAACAAGAAAGTCTTAGAAGTATAATTATTACGTATTAGAATATTCATAGTAATTAATAATTATTACATGTTAAACAGTTCAAGATAATTTAATGATAGAGTTTAATATCTTAATACATATACACACAAAATAAAATTACAAGAGATGCTAAAAATTTTATGTGAAAACTTCAAAAAAAAAAAAAAAATCAGGGCGCCATAATCCAGTTGAAATAAAATACTATATGTAAGATTACAGAAATGAAATAATTAGGTTTCTTCTCGTTTGTTGTTGGTCTTCTTCATCTGCTCTTTGTCTTGGTGATTTTTTCGATTGTCCTCTAAGATTGTCTGGTGGGTTTCTCCTTGGTTCGGTAGTTTGGTGCTTGTTTCTTTGATGTTTGAGCTGTTGGGTTTCGGGTAGCTTTGTCGTTGTGTTGCTTTCTCTTTTTTGTCTTATGGTTGCTGATCTTATTGATCATTTTGGTGCCTCTAGTTTATTGTTCCTTCTCCTACTTGGTTTGTTTGGTCATTTTAAAGACTGTTTTCTAGTTCATGTCCTTGTTCTTCGTGGGATTGGTGCTTGCTTGAGTGATTGGTTCTGTTTGATACCTCCTACTTTCTAGATTGCTTATGTTGAATTTTTTGTCTCTTTGCCTTTGTTTTTATTTTCAGCCTTTCTTTTTCTGTGTGTTGGTTGTAATAGACCAAATCAAAGGTTCATAGGTTTTCTTTTAAATGCTGAATTTTCAGAGAACTATTGATCCGCTAATGAATTATAATTTCTTCTTTGTTTTAATGCGTAGGCCTTGCACGTGGGTTTTATCTAAAAAAAATATGTAGGATTTCATAGGTTTAGTTTTTCTCCTCAAATAAACTAGATGTGATTACAAAATTGGGAATAGTAGTTAATTTGATTTATTATGTTTTTGGTGGTGATTATAGAAGTAGTGGAGGGTGATGATAATAATATAGATAATGTTGCAAGGGCGATGTAGGTTGGATAACAACACATGCAATGAAGAATGGGTGGTAGCAATAAAAAAATGATGAACAAATGACAATCAGGCGATGAAGATTGAATGACGGTGGTCAAGCCAAGTTGGTTGCTGGCAATGATCATTAGAGTTGAATATTTGGTTAGCCTCTAGAGTTCTTCATATATCCAAACTTTTCAATTTCAAGTCAAGTTCAAGCTCCCATTTATACAAAGAAAGTAGGTACATATATATAACTTTTTTAGTAGTATTTTGATTATTTTAGTCAAATTTTCAAAATACTTAACATTTCATATTGATTCCTTTTTTTATAGAACTTTTTTCAGTATTTAGTTACCTAAATGACGTTAGAAGTTAGTGATCTTATGCTTTTTGGATTCCTCTCCTAGAGATGCTTATTTGATCATAAGCACACAAAAATACTTTTGGTTATCTAAATAATATAACGATGTTTCTAATTATATTACACATTTTTTATTTGGGATTATTTGGAGTAAGATCATACTGTTTTTTATGTTATTGGATTTGTCTTGTTGAAATGTTTAGCTTATACATAAGATGATGGTTTATATAACAAAGTGTTGCTAGTACTGTTACAATATGAAGATGATGATGAAAGAGATTCCCCAAAAATATCAAAAATTTATTTGGTATGTTGATTTTTTCTCTATTTTAAGGTAATTTTTTTTCTTATTTTTATAATTTTTTCATAATTTTGATATGATTTTCTTAGTACATAATCATATGCAACTGTAAGTTTTTCATACAATTTTGCTTTGCAAAACTCAGCTGTTTTAATTTTTGGGAACATTTTGATTTTTAGATATCAAGAAACTAAAATTGTGATAATAAAAAAAAATCTTCAATGAATTTCTAAAATAAAAACTTCATTAAAACATTTTGTAAACTAATATAACATATTTGTTTAATTCCCTCTATATATATACTTAGTTTGATAGGAAAAAATATTCAAGAATTATAGATTTATTAAATTTATCTTTTTGTACCATAAAGCTGCTTTAATAAACATGAAGAAAATCATCCTAAATAGAACTTAAAAGTCATTTACATATCAATGATAGGTATTTGAAATATTCAAATTTTGCTAAAAATCCAATTTCATACTTGAATCTTGGAGTAGGCAAAAAGATATCACCCCTCAGTTAGAATTTAATCATCTCAACAACATAGTTGATAGGAACTCTAATATATCTTATGTTCTCTGTGGGCCTTATGAATCAATTTATGTCATTCGTATGTTTAGATAATTTCAAGAGAGTGTAACTTATATGGCTAATATCTTTAGACGGACGTTTAATTAGATGATTGAAAAATGTGTATTTTTGTAGTAAATGTAATTTCTAATGCTCATAAATTTTGTGATTATTAGATAAATTAAGAAATAGATGCCTTTTAAAAGTTTTGGAGATTCTTTGCCTTCTTAGGCTTGTAAGTTTTGAGATTTTTTAAAGAATATCTGACCAAGCAGATTTCTAATGATGTATGAGCTACATTAACAATATGTTAATATAGGCTATTATATCAGCCTTCGCTATATCTAACATTTTCTTAAAGCGATAAGCTAGTAATTAATATGACCTTAATTAGTATATATAAAATTAAATAGTTGAAAGAAGATGCCGCCCTGACGCATGCAAAACTATAAGACGTCGTTCTATACAGCCTTTGCTTTGAATTCCTTAATATAATTTCATTAAATCTTAATGACTTGTTCTAACCGCGTTGGAGTTGATCAATCAATTAGATCAACTGTAAATAGCCAAAAGTAAAGTGTTGGTTCGATTCCATCATTCTTCCCATTTTTCTTTTTATTATATATAAATTTTTGAAAAAAATCAGAAACGCGTCGAAGCATTAGCCATCAGCAACTCTATTTAAAAAATTATTTTGTCCTCCGCTGATTATTTTGAATAAGAAAAAGGGATTAGCTGTCTTAAAACGTGTTCGGACAATTGCCGTCTACCTTCCTTTCTCCCATTGCTTTCCTCCTCTATTTAAGCTTCCTCTCCTCCCTCTTATTGCTCAACAAACAAAAGAAGAACAAAGAAGGAGAACAAGGAAAAAAAAAACAAGAAGCAGCAGAGTCCAATGGCTTCTCAGATGATCCCAATAGCACTTATTCTCTCCCTCTCCCTCTCCCTCCTCCCTTCTTCTCTTGGTAAGTCATTCAAACTACTCTATATATCATTAACCAAAACGGCTGGCTAATTATATGGTAGTTAACAACAAATGTTATTGTTGATGCAGCTGTGGTTATTTGTGAGGAGTTGCCCTTAGATCTATGTGCTTTCTCGATATCAACGGCGGGACATCGATGCATTCTGGAGAGCTATCGGGCAAAAGATGGCGGAGAGCAGACAAAGAATCAGTGCAAGACGTCGGATGTAGTGGTGGAGAGGGTTTCGGATTGGATAGAGACTGATGAATGTGTGAGGGCTTGCGGTGTCGATCGAACTGCCAAAGGAATCTCTTCTGATGCCCTCCTTGATTCACAATTCACTGGAAAGCTCTGCTCATCGACTTGCCATGAGAGCTGTCCCAATATTGTAGACCTTTACTTCAACCTTGCAGCAGCTGAAGGTAAGCTACTAGCTAGCTAAACTATACAATTCTTAACATAGTGAAATATATTGATATGCCAAAGTAACGTTCTTATTCTTTGAACAGGTGTTTTCCTTCCAGATCTCTGCCATGCTCGTCGATCAAGCCCGCACAGATCGATGGTGGAGCTGCTGAGCTCTGGGGCTGCCTCTGGTCCAGTTGCAGCAGCCAGTGCGATCGCCGATGAAGTCGCTCCTCCTCCTTCAGCATAATCAATTGGTTCTCTGCATATAGATACATACTTATAGCAGCTTTGTTTGGAGTGTAAAGAAATGTAAGGAGATTGAAGAGCACAAAAGAAGGAACCATACATATTTCTTGCATCTATAGATTCACATGTATTTTATATAAATTCTTTTTACCATGTAACTAGTGATTCAAAAGGGTTTATTTGGATTCTATTTTCTCTAATATTTCGTAGAATTTGAGTGTCTATTAATGCATTCTTCCACAGTGCATTAATTTTGTACAACATATTACATTATATTTAAATTTCCTTCTTATAATAGATATTATTCATTATGATATTTGAATTGAATTTTATTTCATGCAAGAATATTGATGGGAATTTCTTATCACTATATGAAGCTCTCGAGCACACATGTATGAGATATATTTAGAGCAATTCATAAAGACAAGATTTTTTATATTTCGTAGAATTTGAGTGTCTATTAATGCATTCTTCCACAGAGCATTAATTTTGTACAACAGATTATATTATATTTTCCGTACGTATTATAATAGATATTATTCATTATGATATTTGAATTGAATTTTATTTCGTGCTAGAATATTCATGGGATTTCTTATCACTGTTTGAAGCTCTCGAGCACACATGTGTGAGATATATTTAGAGCAATTCATAAAAGACTTGACCCAATTGAAATGACTCCACTAGTCCGGATCATATGTTTCACTCTCTCATAATTGTAAAAGTCTTTGATGCAACATAATATGCATGAACAATAGAAGATAACTTATAAGGTGGAAATAGAATGAGCCTTGAAGCCTGGGAGTTCGTCTTAAGAAGTCCATTGATTGTTTGCTGTTTTAAGCATATATTGGTGGGGAGGCTAAATTTCAAGAAGACCAAATCAAAATTTCATACTTATGTTGGGTGATGCAATTATTTGTGTCAACTAGTGTAAGTGTTAGCATTAATAGTGAGCAACGATATTGGTGGTGTTGGTGTTATTAACGGGCCAGTAACGACCTTATTGGTTTTAGCGAATAATTTCTATCGAAGTCGATAGGCATTGGCATTGATTACATTAAACATTAATGTCAAGAAAGGGTATTCTTCGGATGGTGGATGCTAGAATTGATATATGACGATTAGGTGAAAGTGGACAATGACGTTGGGATATGATAGTCTAAAAATAGTAGTCGGATGATAATGATTAAATGACAATATGTGTTGGTGATTGTCAGACATTTTATCAGCAAGCATGTGAATATAATTCAAAGGATTCGTAAACTCTCTCTAAATCAATCCAGGGTCTCATGAGAAAAATGAAGGGCTATTTATAAATCATTTCTGATACACTTGCGTGTTAGTAATATTATAATTGAGTGCTTTGAAACTTTTTGGATTCCTCTTATTGTGACGTTCGCTTTGACTATAAGAACATAAGACCAATTTATTGTTTAGCCCCACAAGCAATGTCATTTTAACTTAGGCATATGTGAGCTTGGATCAATGTAAATTTTTTTGCTATTTTATTAAAATGTTTACTTTTATTATAAATTTATTAAAAACGGAATTCAAATTATGCCAAAGTTGATCATGAAAGTTTCTAATTCACACATTCGTATCAAGATTCATGCTTGATTTGATGAATTTTATGATGATGTATCAATTTTGAATGTGGTTATTCCTATTGGGATAACCCAACCTCTTTGGATATTTTCATGTTATGACTTATGATCATGCAAAGGCTTTGACGAATAAAAAACATAGTAAAAATGTTAGCTCACTCTAATATAAGACATCGAGTTTTACATGAAGTGGACCCAATGATGATAAAAAAATTCATGTAGATAGGGCCAATAGCCAAAAGTGCTGCTGCATAACCCCAACGCGTTTATCTAGACTTCTTAATCCGGTAGGAGAAAAAGAAAAACTCCCATTTCTCAAATAGGGCCCCATCACACAATTGTCATGGAAATTTAGATGGCTTTGTAGAAATCTGCGGTCTCTTTGCGTTCTACTACGCGGCGGTGAAATTCAGATGGTAGGTAGGCATGCAGAATGGCTCGGTCCAAAGTGGTTCCGATTCAAATTGATATCTTATTGACCAAGTTTTCTAACAATTTTAATATGCTGGCTAAGATTTATATTGATTTTGTATTTTTCATAGTCAGAGAATGGCAAAATATAAAAATTCAACATGGACTATATGTTTCAGGGAAGTAAGATTTTTTACATCAAAATTTTCAAAAAGAAAAAAAAAATTATAATTGGCCTTGTTGAAACCATTCTAATTTTACATTGAAAGTTGTAATATATATAATTTATAAATATATAAATCAAAAGACATGTGAAGCTTAATTAATGAAATTAACACTTCAAACTGGAGCAACGAACACGTGAGGTTTAGACGGGGAAGACAGTCCTAGCTCGAATGGAAGACAGTCGCTCGCCCTCGCACGGGAAATCTGATGAAGCAGGCGACGGGTTTGGATGGGAAGACGATTTTTCACATGAATGAATGTAAGGCGGATATAGGAATTCTGACGGAGCCTATAGGGAGGGTTAGAATTGATGAAAAAAGAGGGTTTTAAGTGGTATATTAGTAAATATAATACTTTAGGTTATGTATTTTTGATAGTTTGAAATGTTATGTATGTAAAAATCCAATTTTTTTAATTACAGGAATCCTTAATGTAAAAATTCCAATGAATTATGTATACATATATGAAAATAAGAACTATTATCAAAACTTCAAGTAGATGATGAAACCGTCATTAGCAAGATTAAATCCTAATTTGGAAAGTTGAAATATAAGAAAGGTAATTCGTCTCTTTATATTAATTGCCCATGAGGCTCATTTATTTATCCATTCGTGATTTTAAACCATTGTCTGGGATGCTAATGTTTATCTATTAGCTTTGGAAAAGAAAACATATCAAATCTGGAAAAGCTGTTGAAAGATTTGTCGGAAATTTACGCCGGAAAGAAACCGTCGAAAAATTCCGTCGGAAAACTTATTCGTTGTCTTCCTTTGAAAAACCGTCGAAAAGCTACCGAAAATTTCTGCTGGTAATAGGTGATTTTTCTTTGTGCAAGAGAGTTTATATAGCCAACAAGTGGCTACCCAGACAGTAAAGTTAGAGCATGTCTAAAAATCACGAGTGGACATGCACGTATTAATCAGCCTGTGCTTGCATCAGCCGAACAAGAGAGTGAGGATGTAGATTAATTAGGACTAGATTATCTTTGCTTTTTTATGCATTTTTTTTAATGTATAAGAATGATGTTTATCATAGAAGTGTTGTATTATTATAGAAAAATTATGAATAATTTGTGCAATATGTTTATTATAATAGTGTTGTAAATAGTATTTGTTAAAATATTAGCATATTTAACTATTACAAAAAATATATTTGGACTATGATTCTTGTAAGGCTGAATAAGTGAACAGAGATGTTATTTTTGTTTTATATATGATACTTGTTTGCAATGGATTTAAGGTGAAATTTTCGCCCTAAAGTACAATATGACAAAATTTAATATGATTTGCGGCAAAAATGTTTGTTGTACATTGCGGCAAAAATTTTGTCGTAATTTACGGCAGAATTTATGATAGATATGCTGCCCTAAGTTATGAAGATTTTTGTGGCATCAATATCCATCATACTTTACGACAAAATTTTAGGCTAATAATTTTAATGAAAATGTCATTTTCTGGAACCTAAACTCCATTGTAAATTCGTCGTAAATCCAACACAAAATATTTTAGACGGATTTTTTTTTACACAAATCAAATTCTAACACGGCTTTTCGAGTTGGATTAGATTCCGTCGTAAATTCACCAAAGATCTTATTTAGCGGCGGATTTTACTTGTTTTCCGACGGATTTATCCACTGAAAACAGCTGACTTTCTTGTATTTTTTTCTCCTATATTGGTCTTGCTAGTTCGGTGGAGTGAGTTAATTGTGCAGGTGTTGTCTGGTCTTTGTTTATCGGTTGTCTTATTTGATACTTTTAAAAACTTATAATTTTTATTATTAATTAAAATGTAGGCCTTTACATGAGTTTTAACTAGAATAAATTTGAATCCGATCCTCTTAAGTAGGTAAGTATGAGTCGACAAGGTTTAACAAAACAACTATAAAATGCCCCCAAACACCCGCATGGTCCCCGGCGAGCATGTTGCGGGAACACATGTGACGTTTAGGGATGCTGCGCGGGTCAATAAGTGAATTGAAGTTCGAATATGATCATTCTATACGGATCAATAGGAGGTTACAGGATTCGAACCATCAAATAAATATACAGTTGTGACGACCGGCATATTTACTTAATACATTCATATTAGACATTTAAGGCCTATAATCAATAGAATTCACTAACAAATGCATAAAGCCTACGAAATCTGATCCCCTGTCGGCAAGTTGATAGGGTCGACAAGGTTCAAGCTTTAAATAAAAATGACCCATCACACCCCGATGATGATCGTGTTGAATGTAGATCTCAACCGGAGGGGTTAACTCAAACCATTTTAAATGCCCTCAAACTTACATAAGATTTAATCTTCAAGTGACTTTAAGGTCACCCTGATGATGGCATTGTTGAATGATAATCTCAACCGGAGGGGTCAACTTCAAATATCCAAAATGCCATCCAATTACCCACAAAGATTTTAAAAAAAATCCCAAAATCTCAAAAATATTTAAAATTGAAATCTAACTATCAAATAACTTAAAGAAAAATACATTCAACCTCTGCAACAATTTACCGAGGTGGACAAATTAAAAATACTTGAGCTCATATAGAGTTAATGCCTAGTCGAAAATATCACTAGAATCCACTCTTAATCAATCTCTTGCCAGTAAGGACGTGGTACGTGTCCTCTAAGTGGGGATTTTGCAGCCAAATGGCACCGTAGGATAAACGGTTATGACCCGGGGCCCTCTGAATCGAGTATTTTTGCCTCTAAATGGCACCACAAAATATCGATTATGGTCAGCACCAATACGCTCCTTAATGACATCAAATCCTTGAGATATGAATCAATAGGATATGATCGATAGAGCACAAAGCCCTCTATTAGCTAAGGTGGATTCAAATTTGTCCCTTTAGACAAACATTCACCCCATGTCTATAAGGTACCCTTGGACGAAGAACCCATGGCTGCCGATAAGAATCCTTCTGTCAGGTTGGGTCGACTTCCTTTG